TCAAAGACAATACTTCCAATCAGATCTCATACTTCCAATTATGAATAACCATTCCCTGCCCTTAATCAAGTTGCAAACACACCATCGCTCTACAAGTTCTGGGTAAAAGCATGCATTTCTTAGAAACATCATGTTTACCCAAATTTGACTCATGACAATGCAACATAAGCTGTGTAAAACCTATAATAAAACAGGCTTAAAAACAACTTCCATTCCAGTAAATAGAATTTCACTGAATAAACAATAATAATGAATTTCGCTCCACACAAATTGAGCTTAAAACATGCATTTCTCAGAAACTTCATGTTTACTGCATGATAATGAAGCATAAGGCCACACCAATTTAATTTCTTGGTTAACAGATTCGCCCGCTTCATTTTTTTCTGATTTGCAAATAAAAATAAAAATTCAGAATCAACTGCAAAATGCTCATATTTTGCCCTGAACAGTTCAAAACAGTCCTTTTCATCCTAGGTGTTATAGTTATTCCTTCTTCTGAGAAGCAGGACCTAATGGTATCATTAAAAGTTCAAAATTCATTATTTGAATTTTGAACCAGCCTGGTGTGTTGACTTCATGGCTCCTATCGTACCATTTTGGGCCATAATATGATGCCTAGGGCTGTTTTTATTTTTTATTTTTTTCGCCCGCCCGCTCCATTATTTTTCTACAAAAATCCGTTAACCAAGAAATTAAATTGATGTGGCCTAAGGCTAAAGCTGTGTAAATGTACAATGAATCATCCTTTCCAAATACTTCCTATTGCTGAACTTATTAAAGTTGCCAATACTCATTTGCTCGATACAAATTAAGGGTAAAGCCTAGCTGTTACTGTGTTCTGGAGAAAGTGTTAACAATTTGCAGATGCCCCTTACATAGTACTTAGTCGTTGGTGCTACAGGCCCGGTGTTTTTATAAACGACTAGTATCATTCACCGCGTTCCGTTTCTTGACTGGCGGCCAACGAAGACCAGACCTCTCTCTTGGGTTTCTGTAAACTTCATTCCGTTATCTGTAAGTCCTCCAGTGGGAGACTCAATAGGTCTCCACCTCATCCTGTAGTGATTAAATCTTGCGGTTACCAGATCTGAACACTTCGTGACTGGAATGTTGTCCTACATGGAAGGGTCTATACCTCTACATAGTACCTAAATGCCGGTACGTGATCACCAACACATCCCTATACGTACACGTAGCTTGGTATAATCATATAATAATGTCCTTGCTTGGATGCCAGACTGTTCTACCCTGAGAAGCAGGACCTAATTGAGGGGCTCTATGGAAACGTTTCCTTCAGGACATGTTGGCCCTGGAGCCGAGGAGCTAGCCCTGCGCTGGGTCAGAGGAGCTAGCCTGTATACTGGCCCTGGCAGCAGTCTGGCACCCAGGCTAGCCCTGGAGCCAAGGAGCAAGCCTGTATACTGGCCCTGGGAACAATCTGGCACCCAGGCTAGTGTGGATCAGGGTCTGAGGGGCTTGGGAGCATGTTGGCCCAACTTGTGTTGGCCCTAACTTGTGTAGACCCTGAGAACAGTCTGGTACCCAGGCTACAGTACAGTGTACCTACATGGTGATCATTACCACCAACATATTTCCGACAGCTGTACTTTATACATGTACATGTAAGTCTCCTAAAAGGGATTACCAACCAAAGCTGAAAGGAAACGCTAGCTTTCCCTGTCCAATAATATTTTCACAAATCTGTATAAGTCCTGGGACTGGATGGTTGCCAGTACAGGGGGAAATCCACAAGAATTCCATCAACCCCAAACACATTATAGACAGGAATGGAAACAATCGTGTGGTATGTAAACGACTTGACTTAACCCTAGCCGTGCAATATCACTGTCTAGTAAGGGTGACAACCAGTTCTAATGGACCGCTGCAGTAAAGGGGTTATCAAAAAGTTGCACCTTCAAAATGTATTTCTCTCACTTGGGTCTACTGGTACCAGACTGTTTCCAGGGCTCACACCGGCCAGTTCCTGGGCTCAACACTCAGTTAGACCCTGATCCCTACACTGGCCAACTCTGGGCCTAGTACATATAGGTCTGGCATCCAGGCTAACTTGGGACTGGACTTGTAGGCTGGTATCACAAACATACACTGGTGTGAGTTGATAAATGTACCATATTTTCCTTTTGTAGGCCACCATATTGATACCAAAACAAAAGAGACTAAAACAGTATTACGGGACAAATAAAACTTATAATATTTATATTTGCTTTAATTTTCTTCTCTGAGAATCAAAGACAAAATTACTTACTTGACATTTATGTTATAAAAAAAGAAGTGCAATTGACAATTACTCAATTGCAAACATGTACAACTATCTGAAGTTATATAGAGTCCATGTTGTCAGTTGAAGTAAGCAAGCACTGTGGGTTGTTCTGTGTTACACTGATTGCTGTGTCTGGACATGACATGACATGACATAAAATGTTATGTCATGATTTGGCAGTAAAGTCTGCTAATACGTAGTACACATTTTATTCTGTTGGATGATCCATTTTTCTTAATTTAACACCTCATCTTGCTACAATCATATGTCTACGTGTAAATGATGCAGCTCACATTTAATAGCTTGTACAATAAAAAAATGTTTTGTGTCTAGTACTTACGGTCTTCATTCCTACATTTGGTAAGGCAACTGCTGGGTTTTCATACTCTAATCAACACACATTCTACAACTCTCTCTAAACTCTTGGTAGGCCAATGCAACATTAAAAATTTGTGACTATGATTCTGTTTTGTGTATATCATAAAAGCCTTTTGAAGTTCGTCATATCTGTTTTCAGTTCTAACAGGTATCCGGTTGACAAAAAGACTTGTGCAGTATTATGATATCTACAGGATATCTGTAGGAACCTCTGCTCTAAACAACTCAACTTTCAGTTGGCATCTAAAACAAAGCAATACCCGTTTTTTCTCTTGAAAAGAAAGGTGAAAGGAAAGTAAATCAGACATTTCTTCATAATTTTATGGTATACATCAGTCTTAGTGTTAGCTGGACTTCCAACCTTGTACCCCTTTTCTCTGCAATAGATTTTACAATACAATACAATACAATACAATTACACAAGACAATGGGCATGGCTTTGTTATTTATACAGGTCTGCACTAAGCATGTTTCTCACTATAAAATATTAAAAGCCTGGATCACAAGTAAGCCACGTTTGTGCAAAGTAATCTCTCCATGGACACAAATCATACATGTTCCTTTGCTACTGGACCTTTTGACTGAAATACTATGTATCAAAATTATTAAAGGTATCAAATGCGATTTCAGGGCCAGCAAAACTGGAAATATTCTGAAAATTAAAAAGGCAATTTTTGTGATATTGACACTTTAATTGCTGCACATTAGCACATTTGAGTCAGTATTTCATATTCCAGGCTTTTAAAACTGCAGAAGCAAGCCCCAAGATGAGTCCTTTATTTTCTGGCTAGCCTAAAATCTGCCAAGGGTCCTTCCAGTAACCATTTTCTGTCAGAATTTTGGGAATTTTTGCTCCATGAGGGTCAACATACATCGGCCGTTGGGATAGTGTGGTTTCAACTCTGTATGTAGATACATGGCTAGAATATTGGCTTTGAAAAATCTGGTTTCCAATCCCTAAAAACTGCACTGGATGCCTTTAATACAACAATGCAGATGGCAAATATTGAATAATCAGCAACTGAGAGGCTGGGTAACTGTCCTCCTGTTCTAATTACATTTGCATAGTCCCAGACACGTATCATTTGGGACAAACAATATCATAACATAAATATTCATACACTGTACAGTTAGAAGATCAGAAGAAAATTTCAGCGTTGTACAGATAAGCTCGGGAAACTGTTACTCTGACATGATTCCAGTAAGAACTGTACTAACTTATCTTGAAAGTTCATCTGTGTTGGTAGAAGTCATTATGCAGCAAGTTTAAACTGTAATTTCCAACACAACAAAAATTGGACTCACCCAAATTTTCGACTGTACAACTCCAGGCTTTGTCAAGGAATGAGCAGTCCACCGCTTCCGTGACGTCACGTAGATAACACACGTGACTCCGTGAGCAGTGGATCATAGGTTGCAGAAAGTCTGTACAGGTGGATGGAAGCGGTGGACTGCTCATTCCTTGACAAAGACTGGAGTTGTACAGTCGAAAATTTGGGTGAGTCCAATTTTTGTTGTGTTGGAAATTACAGTTTAAACTTGCTGCATAAGTTACTAACTGTCATACTTACATTTTACTGTACTTACTTTTTCAGTCACAGTGCACTTTCTATACATTTTGTACCTGAATGCAGCAGGAGGTCTGCTAATCTCCGAGCAGATTTTAGGGTGGTTACATTTTGTGAAATGGGCCATTTTTTTCTAACCGCCCTCTACCTGCTGTTAACAAAAATGACTGGGCAGAAAAGTTAACAATGCTCCACCCGTTTCCAAATTTGGACCTACTTGTACATTGTACATGTACATTGTATGGGGATGGTCATTGGAAAGATGTCATATTGAAGCAACATTTGTATAACAATACTGCTGTGAAACTTTATTGTGAGTTTGCTAGCTTCTAGTATGGACACCATCTAAAAACTTTGCTATCACCATAACTGACTCTTGATCACTGCTAACCCTTACAACTTGCAATCCCCCAAAATGAACACATGTAAGGCAGTACTCGTATTGTCATGAAACTTTTAAAGGCTACGAAAAGGAAACACATAAAAACACAACATTTCAGGATCAGAACACTCCCCATCAACATAAAACCACTGCTGCAGCTTTCACATACATAATGCCCGTTTGGTCAAGAGAGTGGGGGAGTTAAAATTCACTGAAAGATTGCACACAACTAAAAACTAGTCTCTACCACACTCTTTTGCAGGCTGAATAAATACAGTATGTAGAAATTGGCCTAAAACAAATGTAGCTGGCCAGGGGAGTTGGCCGGCCATAGAGGGTCCAGTTTTATGGCTGCAAACTGGACCCTCTATGGCCAGCCAAATCCCCTCTCCAGCTACATTCTTTTTAGGCCTATTTCTACTATTCAGCCTGCAAAAGACTGTGATGGGGACGAGCTGATAAAAACAACAGAACAAAAATGTACATCATCATTCAGCCGTTGCTTTCACCCTCCTTTTCCTGATGTTGGCATCATTGTCCTCTTCCGCATCCCCATCATCATCTTCCTCCTCCTCCTCTTCCTCCTCCTCCTCCCCTGGCTCCTCTGTGGTTGGTCTGTCTTCCCTCTTCACCTTAGTCGGGGGCATGTCCATCTGGATGGGTTCGTAGAAGCCTTTGGGCGGCGCCGCCGGGCACAGGCAGTCTGTGATGAACACCAGCACCTGCAACAAAGACAACAACAGGGTTGGAAATGCGGTTTTGGCGACGTCTCAGGGAGGAGCCTAATGGTACAGTATTGTGTGCAATTTGCAAGAATTCTAGGAATTGTACAGGCATTTTGTCCACAGGCATGCGGAATGTCCACAGACATTTCTCTGACCAACATCCATGCCCACATTCCTGGAACCCTGAAGATCTGTCTGCCCCAGATGGCCCTATTTTCTGTGACCCCGGGGCTCGTTCACTATGCACTCAGGGGAGGAGTGTACTGTATCTGTCTAGACTTAACCAAAGTCTAAGTACCAAGTCTTCCTCAAAATCATGAAATGATGGCAGTGCCATGCAAACAATAACCCTAACAGCAACTACCGCCGCCATGGCAATGTATGTTTTCATTGCCAGTCTTGTTCTGCATACTAGTACCTGCACTGGCGCAAATCTGTATAAGAAAATTACCTGCACCAGACAAATTTTACCTGCACCACTCAGAATTTTTGTGAATGTGACTTGAACCTCATACTGTTAGAGATGATTAGCACTGGCCATAATAAATATACGTGTAAGTCCTCATCAATCACTAGAGTGCATTTTACACACAAAAAGTATGCTGCTACTAGCCGCCAAAATTATCCTTTGTACATTTGTACCAGGCTAATTTGAGGCCAACGCTGAGAGTGGGGCATACATTGCTAATCCCCACCCAACCTGGAATCTGGCATCCAGGCCAAGCTACATGTACATTGTATCCTTTGAAAATACACATTTTGTATTTCTTTGTTCTAGTGTTACTTTCTTCTCTGAAAAGCTGTCAAGTTGGTCTTTGAAACATCGCATTTAAGTGTTTGAGAACATCTTGGTTACATGTTTTCTTGCAAAGTACATTGTGCTTTGATAAGGAAAAGTGTGACCAGTGACGGTGTTATGTTACACAAGTAAAGAGGGACATATGGTAGTAATGTCAGGATATTGTATGGAATAAAACATTGACATTGCGGCATGTGTGTGCTCAGCTGCATTGAAAAGAAAGTAAACATGCTTGCCTACCCTTTTATCTATTCCACAACTCATTGTGCAAGCAATGAATATGACTGTACAATAATATGTACACAGGCACCTGTGTGAATCTAATCCTTTCACAAATACATGTAAGTTCCCCGAGTACCCAACCATGACACACTCTTGATTTCTCAATAGGTACATTAGGTTAAGGATTATTGAATGTAGAAAATGGTCTTGTCTTTTGGCCATACTTTTCTGAAAGAGGACGTCTTGTTGAAGAAGACCACTTTTCCTTGGCCTCCCTTTTATGATGATTAGTGAAGAAAATTGCTTGGCCATCTGTTTACCCTGACACAAAACATGCAAACATTTGCCACGAAGCGCTGTGCGGTACAAAAGAAAGTGTTGGTCACTTCTTCTGGCTGCTGCTCTTTCTGTCACGGATACCTGAGTTTACAGATCATTAACTTCCACCACTTTGAACCTCAGCGAATGAGGTCAGGGCCACAGTTCACGCAACACTGTCAGGGCTGGAAATACTGGGTGCATGTGCAGCTTAGTGCACCCAAATTTGGAGCAGAGCATCCAATTTTTTTCTGTGGGTGCACTGGTGTGGGTCACTCAAATATTTTCATAGGTTTACGTATGTAAAGATGTTAAATGTATAGTAGTATGCAGCATATTCTTAACATCTAAGTGTCAAGAAATAATAAATCATTCTTATAGTACATTTTTTTAGAAATGAAACATAATTACATGTGCATTTGTAGTTTTTGCTGACATTCTACTTATTTTATCTTACATGGTGCACCCCCAAATTTTTTTGTGCGCCCAATTTTTTAGGTTGGGTGTACAAGCGCACCTACTGTATTCCCAAAAATGAATTTCAAGCCCTGACTGTACACAACACAGGCTGTCATGGGCAATTCCAAGTACAAAGTACTTAATGAGGGGTTGAAAGGGGCAGCTGAATGGAGATGTTGTGTCAGTAAAAGCTTTCTGGTTGTCACATCATTTATCACCACCACACCCTTAGGCCACACCAATTTAATTTCTTGGTTAACGGATTTTTCTAGAAAAATAATGGGGCGGGCGGGCGAAAAAAAAATAAAAATAAAAACAGGTCTAGGCATCCTATTATAGGCTTAAATGCTACGAAATGAGCCATGAAGTCAACGCAAAAGGCTGGGTTAAAATTTAAACAATGAATTTTGAACTTTTAACCAAACCACTGCAATGATAGATGGGAAAACTGTAACAAGTAGGAAGAAAAGGACTTTCCTCAACTGTTGGGGGCAAAACATGAGCATTTTTCAGTTGATTCAGGACCAGAATCAAATTTTTTTTTTTGCAAATCAGAAAAAAATGAAGCGGCGAATCCGTTAACCAAGAAATTAAATTGGTGTGGCCTTAGGCCTAGGAAAACAAATGTTGTGTTTCCTGTTTCAGTCCTGAAGAAAGTTGGAAAATCAGTAATTAATTGTACAATGTTTTATCACTCAGGTGTCAGATTATGGAGCTCAAAAAGTGTCAGCCTTGTTAGCTTTGGTCCGCTCCCCAAGATCCCCCTTCCGGTAGCGGATCTTTGGGAGCGGATGAAAGCTAACAAGGCTGACACTCAGGCTATAAAAAAGGTCGAAAAATGTATGCCCCTAGTAGGGATCCACACACAAAAAATGCTAGGGTCGGCAGTATTTTCTAGGGTCGGTCAGGAAACACAACATTTTTTTTCCTTGGCCTTACCTCCCCTGACTGTAACAGGAGACCACAGGATCAAGACTGCACCCACCCATGCACACTAGTAGGATATAGGCCTTCACTTCAGGTGGTCCTGTGTTTGGGGAGAGCCACACCCCATGCACCCACCCATCCACACTAGGACACTACTGGCTCTCAGTGTAAATTTTTTTTTTTTATTTACTTCAGATTCACTTCAAAACAAGGCTCGTGAGAGCCACTTACATGTTTTGGGTTACAGTGATGACTGCGTGGTCAGATATTTGTTCACCCTTGATTTAAACCGTTGGAGGTTGTAATTAGCGGTGAAGCTTGTTCCACAGTGAATTTTTAGTGGTTCTGGGGAAGAAACTGTCAGCATGAAATTTTCTCTTAACTGATGGACTATTGAGGAAGAAAGGGTGATTTTCTGCTGTTAAGGTGGCTAAGCGTGTTCTTGCAGAGAATGTTCTGAGAGGGGGTACAAGGGAGTGAAGTTCAGCAGAGCATCTGCCGTGGAAATATTGATATAGTAACGCCAGTGACCAAATAAAAGTGAGATTTGTTGTGGTTGTTATAAAGGTCCTTACATTCAGTACAGGTACATTAATTTGTAACTTTGACAGGTTGTTTTAGAATACCTACATGTACATGTACATTGGCGTCGAGCGTGCGTCGAGCGTGGCGTCGGGTGGTGTAGTGGTTAGAGCAATCGACTATGAACCGGGGAGACCCGGGTTCAATTCCGAGTCGTACCCGGTACATGTCTGAACATTAGCCCCGACGTTGTGGCCTTGGGAAAGCACTTTACACGACTTTCCTCACTCCACCCAGGTGTGAATGGGTACCTAACTTTGGTTGGGGAAAGTAGTATTGAGGTCACCTTGTGGCGCCGAATGGCAGCCGCACAGACCCTTGCGACAGTTCCACAAAAAAAAATAATCGTGGAACAAATATGTGTATCATGTGTATTATTTGATTGTTGTAATTGTTGTGATTTCTATTGATTATTATGTGATACCCTGCATCAATTCAGCCGTATAAAGGCTGCGACTGCACGGGTACTGTTTGGACAATAAAAACCATTTAATTTTTGTACATGCTGGTCTGCGAGTGACATTGGGCTATAGGACCTTTTACACGTTTGAATGTTTTGAAAACACAGGAAGACAATTCAATAAGTGCCACGTGGCACAGGCGGCATTAGTTCTCACATGATCATCTTTCTAACATCACTTTGTACACCTCTGACGGTACGCATGTTTCAAAAGATCACGTATTTGTCACATATTAGAGTACAAGACAGCTGGTATGGTAACTCTTGCTGTTGACATGATTTGGGAATATGTGACAACCCATGCATTATTCATATAGGACAATATAGCTGGTGTGTTACGCTGAAGGGTGGTTATACCGGCTATATATACTGATACAGAATATCTAAAAAGATCCCAAACCAAACCAATGTTCTAGCCAGCATCCATCTTTCCCATACTACATAATCAAAAGGATATTGTGTTTATTGTGACAATGAGAACAAGTTGGAAAGGACGACTCACCATTCCTATGAGAAGGCCTGCGACAATTGTGACAGCAGCAAATAGACAATAGGAGCCCCACACAGGAATACCATAGTCCTCTGTGATGCTGGTATGTACGGTCTGCCGACGAAACAGAGGAGCAGCGTGAACAATGCGGGCAGAAACTACAGGAGAGACAGAAGAACAGCGCACAGGAGCAGCAGCTAGTCAATACTAAGGCCACACCAATTTAATTTCTTGCTTAACGGATTTTTCTAGGAAAATAATGGAGCGGGCGGGCGAAAAAAAAATAAAAATAAAAACAGGCCTAGACATCCTATTATGGCCCAAAATGGTACGATAGGAGCTATGAAGTCAACACACCAGGCAGGTTCAAAATTTAAGCAATGAATTTTGAACTTTTAATGATACCAATGCATTGAAAGATGGAATGACTGTAACAAGTAGTAAGAAAAGGACTGTTTTCAACTGTGCAGGGAAAAATATGAGCATTTTGCAGTTGATGCTGAATTTTTATTTTTATTTGCAAATCAGAAAAAAATGAAGCGGCGAATCCGTTAACCAAGAAATTAAATTGGTGTGGCCTAATACTCGCATGGGATCAGCCACAACTGGGGTTCAGAAGCGGCTGGGGAGTTGGTCCGCTAGAGGAGTACAGTTTGCCGCCTCCTATAGCAGACCAACTCCCCTGGCATGTCATCTCTCTCTATTTGGCCAATTTCTACTCTTTTAAAATGCTGGTTTCAAAGTCCTGGTAGAGGCTAACCCTGGCGAGTCTTGTTTCTTACAGGCACACCAGCAGCAGCTAGTCAATACTAGTAGTAGCCTGGGACCATCCTTGGCCAGGCTTTGGAAACAGCTGGAAAAAGTGGAATCTGGCCAAATAGAGAGATACTAGTAACATGCCGGGGGAGTTGGTCCGCTTTGGGAGAGGCAAACTGTACTCTTACGAACACCAACTCCCCTGGCATGTTTTCCGTCTATTTGGCCAATTTCTACTCTTTCTAGCTGCTTCCAAAGCCAGGACCAGACTCAACCAGACTTTGGAAGTGCCTGCAAAGAGTAGAAATTGGCCAAATTGACAGATGACCTGCTGGGGGAATTGGTCCTGTAAAGGAGTACAAAGATCAGAACAGCCAATTGTACTCCTTTAGCACACCCACAGCTTTGGTACAGTACGTACACGTTGTATTATGTTATCTATTTGGCCAATTTCTACTCTTTCCAGCCGCTTCTGGAGCCTTGTAGAGGCTATGCTGGGATGGTAAGGCCTGCAGACATCACCACACATTTTGCAACTGACTATTGTTTTTACCTTGGTATTTGGTAAGGCTAGCAGAATTTTAGCTGATGCTTGCATTGGAGTTTTTATAGACAAGGCAGGGTCCTTCTCTACTTTTATTTTACATGATTGGTAACAAATATGTGCACATATTTAATGCATTAGCATAAATATTAGCAGGAGGGAGAGAATGTTCTGAGTAGGAGGTGGGGCAGTGAAAAATCTATCTTATAGAGCACAGTGCCTGGTAGCACAACCTGCAACATCAACAGCACCCTCTGGCAGCTTTAGGAGGAACTACACAAGCTCCATGACCCACATACATTCAATAGAAACAATGGTCAGAGAATGCTGCACACTTTCGCAACTCCCGGAGTCTCATAAATAGTTCATATCCTTCAATTTACATGTAGCTCACCCACTGCCCTGTTTTACACCTCTCAGTAGACTTATAAATGTACAAAAAAATTCTTTAATACAGTTTTCCTATCTTTGTTCTTGTCAAACATGATTCTACAACAACATTACATTCTACTATGTCACTAAAAGACAAAAAAAATATCTAAAAAGTTCAGACATACTGACCCTGACAGCCATTGAGATCTTAAAAAGCCAAGACACACAGGACATGCTGTAGGAAAAACACATAAGTCAACATTATATGTCAATTCTTAAGCATAGCAAGCAATATATCGCAGAATATTTGCTTGTCTGATACAATCATGTATGTACTTGATAGTACTTCCAGCTGAATGCTTTTATAGCTTACTTGCTTAGTGTTATGTTCAATATTGTATGTCTATGTGAACAATTTTAATAATTTGAATGTAATTTATTGTCAGTTTCTTTGTTCCTATGACTGCTCAAATCATCAAAGAACTAAAGCAAGCAGTCAACAATGGTTTATGCATTGTAGGACAACCTACACAGCATTTGAAACATTGTAGCATATAAAGACAGAGGAAACTGCCACTGGGTCAAGAGGGAAGAGGGATACACATGCATAAAAAACTGCATCAGAATCTGGCTCTTATAAAAAAAATGGACTAACAGCCACAGCAGATGCTGTAACAAACACTATGATACAGACCCATGGTGTGATTACTGCGATACCATTGTCTTTAGTTGATTAAATTGAGTTTGATTGTCAACTTTTAACTTTCTAGTGTTTTTATTTTACAGATATATATAGTTGCAAATGCCTACCAACTCATACATTGTGTCTGCAAGGTTTACGAATAAAGTTTCAAAGAGACAGAATATTGCAAACATGTACCTCGTCATGAAGGTTAGACATCCAGGTAATAAGATACGCCAAAAAGCAGTTACTCAAGCAACCATGCACCTTTGTTGGTGTTAGAACATTTTTGTTGAGGAGTGAAGCAAAATCTTGACTTACAGGAAAGAGTTTGGAGCCTTCCACGACTCTACAGGCTCCACCTTCTCCCACTTCTTGTCGTCCACGAAGCTGATGAAGTCATCCTTGGTGCGAGAGCCGGTGTACTTACGGAACTCACCGTCCAGCACACTGGGTGGGTGTATATACATTGTTTGTTACTGGCATATAATCAAAGTAATAAAATAAAACATAACACATCGAAGAAGATATGAAGATAAAGACAAAGGGAGAAGATAAAAAGCCATTATGGACCGCCTGCAATCTTCCCCCGACAATATTAATGAGTTGTATGACACATTATTATACAGTAATCAATTACATACACACACACACACACACACACTAACACACACATATATATATATAGTATATATACATGTATATGAAGTTTATTTGTAGCAACTAAAGCATGACTGACCTCGTGGCAACCACGAAATACAAGGCTGAATTGCGAAGCTTGTTAACAACGATTAGCAATTCTTACAGATTATCCCAAAAAATGGCTACTGACTATCGAATTACGGTAATATCTACATGAACGGCTTAGGGATACTCACTGGTAGATGGTTGGCAGAGAGGTAACACCAAACCTGCCACTCAGTCCTGCAAAATACAAATATACATCAGTCAGCATGTGTGCCTTGGCTTTGGGAAATGCATGTTATGTTTTCCTTGGAAGACTAAAACTGTAAAAGGCTGTAAAACCAAACGTACCAGTGCTATAGCAGATTTTTCGGTGGCTGCAAAAGACAGTATCAAATTGGCCAGACAGTATCTATTAGCCAGACAGTATTAGCCTGGTTACCAAACCTATCATAGCTCATGAGTCCTACGTCCTCTCCTACATCTATTTGCGGAGAGGATGTAGGACTCAGGAGCTATAATAGGTTTGGTAACCAAGCTAAAACAGTATCCATTGTTCACCCATAGTGTCTGGCTTATGGATTTGATACAGTCTTTTGTAGCCACTGAAAGATCTGCTTGGAGATTATGTTTATTAAGACTCCCCGTGCCTCACCTGCCTCCTCGGTCACGTCCACCTTGCCCACCTGGATCTCCAGGTCCTCTCCCCAGTCTGCAAATTCCTCCCAGGTGGACTGCAGGTTACGGCAGGCTGGACACCATGGGGCATAGCTGGAACAAAACATGCACATGGCCGGTAAGGTAAAGTCTGCATTATTTATCAAACACTAGTTAGCACAAATGTACAAATTCCTCCCAGGTGGACTGCAGGTTATGGCAGGCCGGACACCACGGGGCATAGCTGGAACAAAACATGCATATGGCCGGTAAGGTAAAGTCTGCATTATTTATCAAACACTAGTTAGCACAAATGTACAAACTCCTCCCAGGCCAGGTAGACTGCAGATTAGGCTATGTTGATTTGATAATATGGATGACATCCGCGCGCGCATGAATTTTCGGCCGTTTCCAAAAAAAAAAAAGTTTTCAACCATACTGTAAATCGTACAAAATGGTTGCAAAATGAGCAAAAATACACAAGTTACAAAAAAACCATGCCAATGTCGTAGAATGCCAAAATCAAACAGAAAAAGACGAAATTGTAAAGAAATGAACTTGAAGACTAGATTATTCGCCAAACCATATTCTGTCCCATTTGTTCAACCCTCATGACCACGTAGATTTCATAATGAAAGCAACTTTTTTTTTTTGCAAAACTTTTTTTTATTCGCACGCGCGCATCAATTTTGGGGCTCCTGGAGGATGTCATCCATATAATCAAATCAACACGGCCTTATGGCAGGCTGGACACCACGGGGCATAGCTGGAACAACATGGAAAGGCAAGGGTAAAGTCTAGGAACACTTGTACAAACTCCTCCCATGTAGACTGCAGGTTACGGCAGGCATAGCTGGAACAACACGGTTTGGGTTAAAAGTCTACTAACAATTGCACGTCTGCAGAACGTACTGCGCCTGTAATGTATTGTGCATTGCACTTTAGTAGAACGTCTCATTTAAGATCGTATTCGCATATAAATGTTATGTCGGAAAAGAGATTGCTGCAACAGGCAAAATTCTGACGCAACGTTGACCAAACATCCAACAAGAACAGTAAAAATTCAGGGTTTTGCACAAGCGCAGTACGTTCTGCCAACGTGCTACAAACACTTGTACGTACAAACTCCTCCCAGGTAGACTGCAGATTACGGCAGGCCGGACACCACGGGGCATAGCTGGAACACATTTCAGGTGTTACAACTTCATAGTTCTCACCAGACTGTTTGAGCGTAGGGGCCCCCTACGCTTTGATTTTGACCCCCTACGCTGTGATGTAGCCCCCTGTGATGTGTTTCAACCAGTGTAGGGGTGGTTTTTGGGGGCAGAAGCTTCATTAATCTTTAAAAAAATGAAAACATAACTTAAGAATGAAGCTATAACAAAGGGAGAACAAAATCTGTCCCCCAATAAACAATAAATAGTGTCTTAAGTGGTTAATATGAGTTACAAAAATTTTTGGGGAGAATATCAGACTCATGTTTTGGGACTCGGTGCGCGACTCGCGCTGCAGAAAGTTGCCCTTCTATATCTGACCCCTACGCTGTGAAAAAATCCTGGTGAGAACCCTGAACTTATAGGGCCAACTACTAAATAATGCACAAATGGTAAAGCTTCTTGTAACCGTTATTAGTGTATATAGAAGTGTGTTGATGTCATATTGTATTATTAGTCTGTCTTATCATGCACTGAATCTAATAAATGTTATATGTATTATTAATTACTAGTAGTAATACATTTGCAACATTGTCTTTGATCTTATCTAGACAATCAAATTTTCTGTACATCCAATATCTTTCATGCTAATTTCAATCCTTTTGACTTACACTGACAAAGCTCCTTGTAAAGTATATAACGCTTATGTTGATGACATTATGATACTATGCACTGTCTTCAATGTCTATGTTGATAATTTGAAACAAAAAGTCTTCTTTCAAATTCATTTTCCCTGTCTGTTTCAGGCACGAATTTGCAACAAAGATTAAACCATTATTACAAGGGGCAACTGCTACTGTCTATGGTAATATTGTGCATCCAATACTGCACCAATATTACTGCTGCAACACTATATGTAAAGTATGGTCACAGAAATAAATCTATGGCTTTCACTGGTTTGAGATTTGTACTGACAAAATATTATGGTGCCATGACTGAGCATTGTATCTGAAGATACTGTCTTGATAACATGACATATAATAATAATAATAAATAACTGTTCTCGGGTACCAATCTGCGGCTAATTGCCCAAAGGTAAAGCCGGATCGGCACAACAAATCAGTATGAGTCCTTAATGTTCTTGTACAGTCCGTTCCACTTTTCCTTCTGCCTTGCCTGCCTTGCCTGGTCTCGTAGCCACTTAATAACATGACACTTTGTCTGTATATCCTCTCTGTATACATATATTCAAAGTGAATTCTTCATACTTTAGCCTTCAGTTGTACTAGCTGGACTATGGACTGATATAACCGTAACAACAAAACGGAACACATGTGCTTCAAAAATTATTTTTGAACACGATTCATTGCAAATTTTACATCTTAATGACCTCTTTTAAGCACTGCATCATGTAGAATAAATGTGGAAGGTTCAAATAACTCTATACGATGGAGTTTGCATTGTTATATTGGCCAGTAAAATGCTAATAATAAATTCATGTAACTAGTATTTGCTAACGGGGGTGGGGAGGGGGGCGGCACTACAGTCAGGGCTAACTCACAATTCCACCATCCATTCTCCCTCCAGCATGGACGTCCAGTTGTCTTCGGTCAGAATGGCCACGTTTTTCTTGGCAGCGCAGCAGACGAGAAGTTGAGCGGCGAAGAACAGGACGCAAAGCGCCGTGAGGAAGGGCGGACGAGCGTTTTCTCTGCTGATCGCCGCCATTTTCAGGAAATATAATGTATTGGGATATTCCATCCCCAGACCAGGAGGGGTGGTCAGGGTGAACATTTGAGTTCAGTTAAAATATCGACTTACTAACTGAATTATAATAAAATATAATATAATATTATAAAGCAGATTTAGAAGTTGTACGAGTCATATCTAACGATTTTTTTCTGTGGTGTCTAAATGGAAAAAGATATCAATAGAAAAGGGGCGATGTTACACATTGATATGAATGTATTGTGTGACTTGATCATAAGCTTGAAATATAACGTTAACGTTAAATGCTCAAAATATTGTACCCCTGCAGTAGCTATTCAGTTTCTGTTTGGGACCATGAATCAATACTTTATTGTGGGATCCATAAAATTTTAAAGGTAACAGAACAGAAGTTATGAGTCTATATTTCTGGCACTTTTATCCATTTTGGATAAAACATAATATGACCAAACTGTTACAGGGTGGGGATGGAAAAATTTCCTACTGTGCATGTCATAGGGACTCGCAAAATGCCTTGGGACATACAGAAATTTTCACAAATTTCCTGTTTATGAGCTAACCAATAAATAGATGGCTGAAGTTACAATGAGAGATACTAGAGGGCCCAAATACACACAAAATATTTGTTTTATTACAACTTCATATATGGTCATCTCCTGTTCTTGTTGTATGGAAAGTGGTCTACTTCAATGCAATAAATGTGGTAAAGCACATAGAGAACAAATATATTGTATTTGCAGGGTAGTGGTGAGCACTCTTTGGGCCACATGAATATATACACGAGTAACGTTACAGGTGACTGTCTAAATGTTGGCATCCTGTAGTAAGAGATTTTATTTCTCTCTTTTTTTCCTTGAATAACCTTTCCTTGAATGATTTTCTTTGAATAACACTTCTGAGGTGCATACTTTTTGTTGTATAACAGAAGTATACAACTATGTGTATTTTAATCTGATGTAACAGAAACAGGGGATCGGACATCTTTCAGTAGTTTTATTAAAATCAATAATACAGAAACACAGTCTTCACAGTCAGAACTCTCAGGTCAGTTCATATGTACTTGAGGACAACATCTAAGACCACTAATATTCACAGCATGAAGGATATGTGTGTTTGCCTGTGTGTTTGCCAGGCCTCTGTGTGTATGTGTGTGCATATCATGTTCAGCACCAAGGACAGGTATGTTTGCCTGTGTGTGAATGGGGTTCAGCACCAGGGACAGATGCATTTGCCTGTGTATAAATTCTGTTTACATACTAGTAACGTTATATATGTATATAAAATCTACATCATCAGCTCTGCTTTGATAGTTTCATTCTCTTCTCAGGCGGTTGCATGGACTGGTTGGACCGGGACCCGGAGCTGCTGTGGTTCTGGTTCGGAGTGTCCTCCGACTTTTCTTCTTTCACCTGTGCCGCCTGCTCTCCTGGTTTCCTGTCTTCTTCAACTGCAGTAACAAACACATCAGTATTATTATATTTCAAATAAATGTCTCATCGAGTAATATGCAGGCTTTTCTAACTTATTCTGTATCTGTATACATGTAGCTAGCCGATATAACCACTCTTTAGCGTAAAAGACCAACTTCTGTATCTGTATATTGCCAGTATAACCTCCCTTTGGCATAATACACCAGCTTCTGTATCTGTATAGCCGTCATAACTGCTATTTGGTGTAACACTCCAGCAGTGCAACATATCGCAGTGATTCCATGAGCATTACTGATATAAAATTTTCTGCTGCTCAGTAAATATGAGGCATGGTATAGTTTCCTTGGAGGCATATGTTGGCCCTGTAGCAAAGAAGCTGAACTGTGTAGGCCCTGGAAACAGTCTGGCATTCAGGCTAGCATGTTCTCCCTCTAGCCGAGGAGCTGGCCTGTGTAGGCTCTGGAAACAGTCTGGCATTCAGGCTAGCATGTTCTCCCTCTAGCCGAGGAGCTGGCCTGTGTAGGCTCTGGAAACAGTCTGGCATTCAGGCTAGCATGTTCTCCCTCTAGCCGAGGAGCTAAACTGTATAGGCAATTGAAACAGCCTGGCATCCAGACTAGGCTAAGACTGACCTGGGACAGGCTGGTCGCCTCTCTTCGGCTGTGCAAACTTGGGTGGGAACTTGTCTGCCAGCTCCCCCAGTAACATGTCCACTCTCTGTCTCTGGAACGCTGAACTCATCTCCTCTGGCTTCTTCTTACTGCCCTGTGACTTGGACTTATCTGGAGAGGACGTGCAAGGTTGTGGTATCTTTAATACTGAGTTTTAACAAGTGACTGCTATGTGTAAACCTTATAAAATAACAAATGTCATGTTTGACCGAATGTTTTATCTTCACCATCAGACCTAAAGACAGAAATATGTGTCTGTACACTTATACTTGGCACACACAACACAACACAACACAACACAACACAGACAACACAGCACAACACAGACAACACAGCACAGACAACACAACACAACACAACACAACACAGACAACACAGCACAGACAACACAGCACAACACAACACAGACAACACAGCACAACACTACACAGCACAACACAACACAACACAACACAACATTGTTTGAGCCATTCTTCATAACAAAGCAAAGAGAGAGTAAAGACATATTTTTGTGTACAACATCACTAGATTAGTACTGTATTAACAACATGCAAATCTGCACAATACATCCAAAAAAGTAACTTGATAGGAAAACATTACCAGGTATACTAATAGTTAGGACATTTTCTACAAGGAACCTATTTAATGAGACAGTTTACATTAGATTGCTCTACTCACCTTGTCTCTTTTTGTCTTCTTTGTCTTTGAATTCCCACCAGTACCCCTTAGATGGGTGATATCTGGAGTAGGACAGGGCTGGAAACAGATAAGACAAAAGTATTACATACATGTATTATCTACTTTATATGTATACATTGTCATTATGCAAATGTACTATCCAAACATCATTCCCGAAACCACCATCACAATCGAAGACACCGGATGCTGCAGTGTTTTGTGAACACTGTGGATGGTAACTAATTTACTAGAAAGAAAGAAAGAAAGAATGAATGAATGAATGAATGAATGAATGAATGAATGAATGAATGAATGAATGAATGAATGAATGAATGAATGAATGAATGAATGAACGAACGAACGAATGAAACTTTATTTTTACTTTGGGCTTATTCGACACCGTTTGAGTATGAATAATACATAAACAAAAGAGAATCAAAGGTGCAGATAACAGAATCCAAACAAAATATGAACACAAATAAAGGTAGGCTATATACAATAATGGTGAACAAAGTGAACTCATAACAGATCATAAATGCAAATAAAAATTTGTATGTACATGTACTGAAAGCATGTGTGATAAACATAATCTGCACTCACCCTCATCAAAGGCCGACTGAATGTTATGAAGGGATGTCAGCTGCAAATTGAAAGAAAAATTTCAATTCACAATAGTAATGATGATTCATAAGGCAATACAGAAAAAAAAGTGACAACTAAGGCCACACCAATTTAATTTCTTGGTTAACGGATTTTTCTAGAAAAATAATGGAGCGGGCGGGCGAAAAAAAAAATAAAAACAGGCCTAGGCATCGTATTATGGCCCAAAATGGTACGATAGGAGCCATGAAGTCAACACACCAGGCTGGTTCAAAATTTAAACAATGAATTTTGAACTTTTAATGATACCATTGCATTGAAAGATGGAATAACTGTAACAACTAGGATGAAAAGGTCTGTTTTCAACTGTTCAGGGCAAAATATAAGCATTTTGCAGTTGATTCTGGATTTTTATTTTTATTTGCAAATCTGAAAAAAATGAAGCGGCGAATCCGTTAACCAAGAAATTAAATTGGTGTGGCCTAACCTACATACATGTCCTACTACTGAAGATTGAACGCGAGTGTGATCTCGAACTAGTTTAGCTCAATGAAGAGCTAATCTCCCACTGGTCATGACAAAGAAGACAGCTGGTATGTACAGTATTTACAGGTTCACTGTATTGGGGAAATTCTCCTAGCTCTCTTCAACAAGCAACATGAACAGTGGACCACATATTAACTTCCCGTCCTAAGAACTATGACAGTAGCATGCTTGTTGGGTCAGTAAGAACAGCCGGGATTCGAACTCCCAACCTCTAGGTCCAGGGGCCAGGTCTCTAACCACTGGACTACATGTATGTATACTACAGATCACTTTCATTTTCAATATTGAAATGATTTCATCAATATTGAAATGGTGTCATTTAAATTTTAAAGATTCCAGAAGAATGAGGCCAGCCTTACCAGTCTGGAATTGAGCACAGAGTACAAGTCAGGTGCCTGGTACACCACTCCTGCTATGATGTAGTAGTCTGCTAGAGGGGTGACTGTGGACAAAAATTATCCAGTTGAAGTCCGTGCGAACTGACGCACATATTGCAAGTAATGACAGTATTGATGGCATTAGAGTTATTAGAAGCTGGGAATTATCTCATTTTGCTGCTATCCATCTGTACAACTTGCCTTGTTACTCTGAAAACTTGTCTTCTTTTCTGAGATTTCCAATATGGATAAGCCAATCAAACTAGACATTACTGCAAATGATCTTAGTAATTATGGCATATTGTACGTATTTCATACATGTAGGTTATGACTGTCTTTTGACACAGTGCTGTTGCCATCGTGTGCCTCCTTTCCTTGTTATCACTAGCCTGGTTACCAAACCTATTTTAGCTCCTGAGTCCTACATCCTATCCACAAATAGGAGAGGATTTAGGACTTAGGAGCTAAGATAGGTTTGGTAACCAGGTTATCTCACCACTACTACAACTGAGGGAATTCGAAGACAGATGCCCAAGTGTCAGATTCGCAACCTGTTATCCACCTTAAACAAATCCATGTGAAGGCCACCGTTTCAACTGTAACCCTCACTCAGGTGTAGGGACCGACACGGTCATCCTACTCGGAAAATCTGTATCTGTATATCTGTACATGAATCTGTATCTGATTGCAAATAAAGATATCGAGTGATTGCCAACCACAACTGACCTTGTTGTTGTGAGTGTCTGTGCTGTTTCCTGACCACATACAGGATGGGTTCCTGGGCATGTAGTAAGATATACTCCACTCCTGTCATGTTACTGTACAAAGCATAAGTAAACATGTACAATACTATGGTACCACACATACATGTTATAATATGATGTATTACTAATATTTATTTTTCTATGTTGTAGAGCTTGTTCTTGATACTCTCCAAGCAGAGACTGTTGGATAGGATTGTCAGACCTTTATCATATGTCCTTTTCTGTCATTACCATAAAATAGGGCTATAGAAAGGTCACAATCAGAAATCTTGTCCTTGAGAGTACAATGTGTAGTTTTTGACCCCATTAGGTTGGCCATGCTGATTGATACACATCCTCCCGGTTTGGCTTTCAATACACTATCTTCCTGACTCTACCAAATGATTCATTTTCTGCAGATGAAATAGGGAAAAGGGAATGGCAAAAACGTACATGTTTTGAAAATAAAAACATTATCTAATGTTATATCACAGTAAAAGGCAAGGACCTTGCCTTTTACTGTGATATAACATTAGATAATTTGAAGGATAGTGTAAAATGTGGTGGAAAATAATTTTTTTTTAAATGAAACTAAAAGCATGGTCAACAAGTTGTATTAAAGACAGCAGGAAAGTGCAAGAAGAAGTGGGAGCAAAAAACAATGTCTGTCCCCGCCCCCACAAACCTGGGCCTGTCCCCACCCCCACAAAACACTTAGGCCCGTTCATGATTGGATATCTGTTGCGAATCAATTCGATTTAAAAAAATAAATCGAGTTCTAATTACTGGTTGACTGGGGAAACAGAAGTTCCGATATTGACTTGGGGAAATCAGGAGATCCAGAGGAAACTGGATGGTGTGCACAAGAACCTACCCTGGGCGTGAGGGCGAGTGGTAGCCCAACGGGGGCGTTGGGACCGTGGACCGTGGGGGTTTGCGGCAGATACGTCCTGGGCATAGCCTATAGGCAGGCCATGAGTCGGAAACGAGCGACTACTCGCCCGAACAGGCGTAAACTCTACGCCTTACGAGCCGGGTTCCCAGGAAATGTTCAAAGAAATTGTGATATACATATGAAATGCAAGTCAATTCATGGTGTGAAACCGTTTCCAGTGTGGGTGCAAATTTTGAATCACGGACCCAAAAATATATTCCGTTTCGATTCGGATCGTGGCCAAACCGGAACACATTTGAATCATGAACGAGGCCTTATTGTGGTGGACTGTCTGCATTGGATTGGATACAATGCAGCCCACAATGATCATACAAACTAATTCACAGATAGATGCAGCATGCTAGGATTCTCTCCAGGCGGAGATTCTTGGGAAAAATTGTGACCTTCTTATGCCCCATTTTGTGTCCCTAAGAATTTTTGCTTGGAGAGTAAGTTGTATGCTACGGTACTTTCTGTGTAGTCAGGGAGGTTATACACTTATAGGGCCCCTAGCCTCCACCCCGCTTCAGAAGGCAGCTGGAAAGAGTAGAAATTGGCCAAATAGAGAGATAACATGCCAGGGGAGTTGTTCTGCTAGAATGTAGTAGTAGAAAGTACATTTTGTTGTACAGCAAGGTACATGTACTCTCTAGCGGACCAACTCCCCTGAAGCCTGGTGGAGGCTAATACGCCCCTATAACCTCCTTGGTGTGCTTGGCGTACTTTAACTGTTCAGGGCTGAGCCTCTGCATCTTGATGATCTCGTTGTTGCAGCTCTTGTCGTAGAACGGATTTGTGCGCTCGGAGAAGTAGTCCAGCACGTTGGCGGGGCTCAGCATGGGGATCCACGCGCTGTCGTGCCATGAGATTGACAGCGGGTTCTCTGCAGATCACAGTATATAGAGTTGTTACTTCTGGGAGGGTCTGCATGGGGGTCCTGGCAATGGTTAATGGTAAATTCAGCAGGGCCGTCAACGGTTACGCTTAATGGTAAATTTGGGGCAGTCGGCAATGCTTAACGGTAAATTGACAGGCTTTGCTGATAAAGTATAACGTTAACATTAAATTAGAGCAGGCCGGCAAGGATTAACAGTTTTGGGAATTAAAATAGCCCATAACGTTTGACGGAAAAGGGCATGCAGACCCTCTTCTGGGACAGAAGTAGTAGTAACATTGTTTTTGGTTGCGTTAATTGATAGATTGTGTGTTGGTACCAAATCTGCACTGGGTCACTGGGAATTAGGTCCTGAAAGTCCGAAATCTCAAATCTCTTTTTAAATAAATTTGGAATCAACATCTGCATATCATTCGTGGCGAGTTCTAGAAACAGAGAAACGGATGGATGTAACGTTAGCTATGCAGTGGTGTTCTATCAAAAACTGTTTCAGTTGAGGCTGACTTTATTTGCGTTTCTGGGATGCAGGGGTGCATAAATATGTACTGATCATGACAGGTCAACTACAACATATGACAAATGCCCCCCTCCCCAACTACTTTTCGAAAAACCGGAACGAAAACCTTATCCATTCAACAGTATGCGAGGGGGCGATTCGCCCACTCAAACCTAGCGGTCTTCTGACAGTCCAACAGCGTCACTTTATCTACAAATATCTACTGAAATCTAAAGGAAAGGCAGCTGAAATACACCTTTACTCGCGGACCCTTGACTTCCTCCATTGTTGTTGGCCGCCATGGTGGAACGTACCATTTGCAGGAGGTTTGGTGGGGGGTTACAAAATCCGGGGGCAAACTGTAACGTTACTTCCTTCTCGCTTGACTAATCTTCGGGCCCGGGCATGTCTTGCAAAAACGGGGGGATTTCCCCCCTTTTCCCCATGACTCATGATCACTCGTGTACCCGGCAAAAAGGTGTTTCGCCTCTCAAGAAGTTTTCATAAGTTTTGGGGGTAGCGTGTTTGTGAAACTCGTGTGGGTGGCGAAAGAAGACAATCGTAAACATGGTTTTGCTTTGACACACAAAAACAAGTGGGCGGCGGCAAGTTGCAAAAGTTTCGCTAACTATGACGTAGTTTCCGACGAAGAGTTTCCACTGTCTCGAATTTCCGCCACAAAAACCACAGCCACAAACAAACCTACAAGTTGCTTAGCATATATAGTCACGTCCTGTAGTTTCCTCTGCTCATCATTGTTCGCGTTTGAAAGCCGAACAGGTTAATTGGATATCGCTGCAGAGAAAATCGTCGCCTTTGCCTTAGGGGCAAAGATTATGTGGTGAGGAGAAACCGCGGGTCTTCCCGGTATCGCTACCTCCGTTTTTGTTTCCTTTCACCTGTATTTATAGGCTGCATGAGTCACAGGGAGACTCCGTGGACTGACGAAATAATCATTCGCACCATTTTCTGCTAGGAAAGCGCACAGTGAACACGCATATCTCTAGTTCTCTTCGGGGAAAATGGTCGCCCGATCCGTAGGCTATTTTACCGTAGCCTTGGTAGCTGTGTTGGCGAGCCCTGTTTCTAACAAAGGTGAGTAAATTGCTTTTGTTTCTAAAAATATCCGTAATATCCTATTTGAACACCGTATAACCCACTGTGTCGTTGTTCTGTGAATAGCAAGCACAGGCTAGGAAATTGTCTTGAGTTATAAGAAGAGTTAATTGTCAGTAATAACGTTACTGATTTAGACCTGCTTTGGCTTTTGGCGAGAGTGATTTTATTCTGTGTACATTACTGATGCAACAGTAAAGAAGGATTTGTGTTATGGAAGTTAAGTTCACTGAATTTTTTTTTCGGGCTACGTTTCACGGAACTGCATTGAAAGGACTAGCCGCGCTCATACTCAAACTCAATAGAACCCACCATGCCTTCCTAGATGTAAATGGAGCTAAGATAGTAGGATTCAGCAAAAATATGGATTACGGTGGACACTGTTTGAACCAGGCACTATGGTGGCCGAACTCCCCTGGCCACTAAAATATTCTCCCTATTTCGCTAAAGTTTACCGCTTTGGTTTCGCGTAATCATTTTGGTGGAGACTAAGCACCAACTGCCTTGTGCCTGCGCCTAACCGGCCGCACGGTTTGTGTCAACGGTTAAGTTTATCCGCCTTCGAAATGTCGGGTATGAAATGAAACCTTTCATGTTCACACGGCTCGTGGAACTAAAAAGCGTAGCAAAGTCAAGTGCTAACTTCCGACTAGAAACAGGAAAAAAGGGGCATCGTGTTTTCGTTGAACTTCCTTTTCAGGTGACCGAAATACTCGGACTTGCTTCCGCCAACTTGTACTTTCGCTTGTTTGCGCAATTATTCTATTATTACCCCCAAAGACTTACCGGGATTACCAGTGATTACAGTATGATATAAATAACTTTTGTGGAAAATTGCGGTGCGCAACGCTTCCTCTTTTTAGGTCATATGAGGTCAGATTTAAACGGGAGTGTTTTTGCCCAAATTTCAACATCTTGATGTATAACAGGATCGGAAGGACCCACAGAAGCGCTTTTTGTGGCCCTTTCCACACTCATTACAACTCTATGAAAGTCAAACACCAACTGCTGTGGCTGTGGTCTTCAATTTCATTTGATACAACTGTTGTGCAATGGAAAGGCAAACTTCCTCTTTTTGGCTGTGGTTTGAAGTAGGACCGGCAGGGGGCGCTTTCCTCCGACCCAACCACCTGTTATAGTTATACTGTCACCGACCTTTTCTCTATTTCTTCGTACATTATACCACCTGAAGGTTCAACTACATTCACCTATACAGATGAAATGCTATAGTTGTAGGCTCTCTATACCCAATAACGTTAGTATCATTCAAGTATCTGTTTTAGTATGCTTTACAGGTGTCACCCAGAGTGTGACCAAGAATATGAATGAAATGTGTTACAGAAGAACACCAAACTAAAGGTATCTGTAAGGGAAACAGTTAATGGGAAACACTAAAATTCTTAATAAATTTGTAAAGCAATGTTTGTGCTTGCAGGTGTAGTGTCCGGTGAGCTGCCTCGATGTCCTGCAGGTCAGCAGCTCTGTTTTAGTGATGACTATGAGCTTGCTACATGCTACAATCCTGAATATGAGAGATGCTGTGATGGCACTCCCATTGTCAGGAGATATGGGGAGAGTTGTGGTGAGTATTGCCCACTGTTTATGTATTACAGCATAGGTAACTTGGCTGGGAGCTACAATATGTATTCACTAGCATTTATCTAGCCTCTACCAGGCTTCAGAAGTGGCGGGAAGAACTTGGTCAAATAAACAGATAACATGTCAGGGGAGTTGGTCCGCTGAAGGAGCACATTTGCCGCTCCAACTCCGGATCCACTGGCACGTTTTCCGCACATTTGGCCAAGTTCTTCTCTTTCCAGACACTTTTGAAGCCTCAGTTTCAAGTTTAGTTTCAAGTTTCATTTATAAAATCAGCCTTGCAGCCAGTTTACAAAGTCGACCAAGCTGAATTACACTGATTTTTACAAATTTTGTACATAGTAGATACAAATACACATTTACATGACAATACATATACAGGCACGCAAACGAACATGTTACAAAATCACACAATACACAAGGGCACTGAAGTAAAGTCCAGAGTCTTGAAAGTCATTGCTACAATGACTCGTTGTACAGGCGTATTGCCTAGAGGTTAGCAACATCTGCTTGGTTTTGTTGGCTAACATGACCCTCTGAGTGAGTCAAGTGCGCTGGTAATTCAGAATACTGAAGTTTTCGCAGGATAATATTGTTAGTTTCAATTTACCGCAGTCTCACCACGTGTGGCTAATATATAAAATGTTGTCCATATGTAAGGAAGTTGAGAGACAAACATTCAAAGACTTAAGGAGCTGTGAAGCAAGATGACACTTTAATTCCAATCATCTTTAGACTTTCAATTGTCTGTACATCCTACCCTACTGACTCAGCTCAGAGATGCTATTTTACATTTTACATACGACTCTACGAACATAAGTCATTGCCCTGTAACATATTTACATTAAATGTACATGTATGGCATATGTAACAAAAGAACACAGCACAAGATTTTTGGCTTTTTTTTCCACTGGACACTTGGTTCTGTTTCCACAACAATAAGGTAATCTGGTGGAATAAAAAAGGATGAATAACTTTGACATAAGAAAGACATCCTAATGTTGTAATGTTACGGCATATGATTCTTGCCTTATACATGTACCACATTCCCACATGTGTAGCTTCTCAGTATGTAATCTTTCCTATCTCTTACTATTACTGTACAATATTACTAGTAGCCATTTCCAATCGTCATCATAGTCAGCCAGTCCTGTCAAAGATTTGTTTCACAAAGCAAACCCAGGCATGAAGGTTTAGTATGGTCAAGGTGCACTATGACAAAGTAATTAATACTAATAATAGAACTTCTATACAAAGTGGGCTGTTTATGACATGTCTCTACTTTCAATGCTTTCCTGTAGCCGGGCCTGACATGAAGTTTTGTGGCTCGACGCCGTACAACTGGACCAGTGGGGAGCTGGACTGCTGTGGGGATGAGGTCTACAACAGGAGGCAGTCGTGGTGCTGTCGGGACGGTTACCGGTCAGTCAAGCACCCGCGCAAGGAAGGTGAGGATAGGGAAGCAGATGGAATAAGAGACTAGAGAAGCAACATTTGCAAAGCAAATGCATAATGTTTACCTTCGGATCCGGACATGGTCTGCCCTGTTAATTTTTACTCAAACATATTCACATACATGTACTACTAGTATATGGTGACAGGAGCAGAGCAGACCATGAAATTGCAACATCAACAAATCATGTCATTGGCCAGGTCAGAGGTTAGTGTTTGGAACAGAAGAGGAGGAAGAAACTGAGTAAAAACAATATGTTTTCCTTTGGTAAACATAAATACATGTAGCTTCTATCTGCCCAGGTTGATAAAAAATACTGTAATTGACTTTGTCAAAAAAGGCTAAACATTCAGGCAAACACTGAGTAAATTGGGACTTACCCAAATTTTCCTGCTGCAATCAAGTGTTTCTGACGTCACTGCAGTGACGGAAGCTGCAGTAGACATGGTAGAAGGGTCCATCCATAAACCATGCAGACAGAGTCGGCCAAAAATTTGGGTAAGTCCCAATTTACTCTGTGTTGGCCTGAACGTTTAGCCTTTTTTGTCATAATGAATTACCGGTACGGTATACCAACACAGATGAACTTTCATGCTATGTAATTGACTTTGTCTTCACGGTAGCAAAATTACACAGTCTGGGGAAAATGGACATGTTTTCGGAACTTAATCTTCATGGTGGTGGCAAGATTTGTAGGGAGTGGATGAAAGACAAATAATTTGATAACGGTAATGACAAATTCACGGTACGGTGATCATGAAAAGTGTGAACATAAAAGTACCAAGAATAAAATCAGAAACTACAGTAGTAGATAGAAATTGGTCAAAGGAATTACAGTCACAGTTTAGTACATGTACAATGTCATGTAGAAATCGGCTAGAGAGTATAATTTGTAGAAAACATGCACTGTGAGCCAATATAATGATGAATGCGAGATTTCTGTAACCACCAGGATCTTGACACTGTGTCCTCTTCATGTTGGCTGAGTCTTGTACTTTGAAGGAGAAGTTTTTCACAGTCATCCTGAAAGACAAAGAAAATAACTTTGACAGTAGACACCAGTCACTGGCAATTCACAATCCACAATTAACTGTTAGATAACTCATTGAATGATAGATATTAATGATAAATGGAAATATTCATCACCTATATCAGAATCTGTGGTTTCCATTTCAGTTTAATCAATCATACAAAACTCATGACAGATGAAACAAATTTTGTACCCTCAGGGTTCTTCTGTTGTGGTACCGAGTACATTGACGGTACCACTGACAGCTGCTGTACCACCATTTACCACCACAAGCACCCCAAATCTTACAAGTTCAAGAACTTCATGTGCTGTGCCACTCAACATCACACCCAAGTATCAAAATGGATGACACCAGAGGTATGATGACACAATTTGTTTGCCCATGCGACAAATATATATATATATATATATCTTTTATAATTATATATATATGTATGTATGTATGTATGTATGTATGTATGTATGTATGTATGTATGTATGTATGTATATATATAACAGCTTGTCATAAAACCACATACTATGACATCTACATACTCTCATAGTCATAACTCTGCTAGGTACCATATATCTCCATTGTCCATCATTGTCAATGAAGACTTCTGCTAATGTCCAGTAAATACAAGTACTATCAAAGCCGTGTCACTGTTTCAAATCCGAAGTAAGACTAGTAACATACATGCATAAAATTGTGTGATTCTGTCTACATAACACTTGCTTTGTATCGAATATGCAATGTAGGCAACCACATGTTTGATACAAGAAATTTTTTCTCTTGTGACAGGACATAGCAGAGAGAATGTGCTGCGGACTTAATATCATGTACAAGAAGGAAGAGAGAGATCCTTATACCACATGCTGTAACGACGAGGTTGTCAAACGGACGGGTGAGTTTATTATCACACTGGCTTCCTGTGACGTAATCTGTACACGTGTGAGGTTCACGTCCGTGACTTAGGTACAAGTCAGTTTACACAGTGTCCAAGGTAACTCAAACACACAGTGACAGTATGGTATACAGTACAATCTAATGTTTCCTTCTGTTGTTGCTTAAGTCTCAGAGAATGTTCTTGCTTCTTAGAAATGGACTGATGTCAGATAGGCCGGTGACTCATCTCTTGTTTGTCGCACGTTTCCTGCTAACTCGACACAGATAAATGAGAGCTGACTCTTCTGGCCAAACTATTTGGTTGCTTGGTTGTCAGACCTTGTACTTTCCTACCACAAAATGTGAACAACTCTGATTGGCACATGTTTAGCTTGAAGTAACAGTGACATAGCAATCCAATCTTTAATGCTATCCAGCAAATCATTACAGCCACCAGGATCAATGTACAGGTTTCGTAAAACCAGTAGCAGTCTATGCCAAAAAGCAGTTACTCAAGCAACTGGATATGATTTTGAAAACGTCAGACATTTCAGCTAGTAAACACTAGCTTTCGTCAGTAACTTGCTAAAGCTAGTGGATACTAGCTGAAACGTCTGACGTTTTCAAAATCATATCCAGTTGCTTGAGTAACTGCTTTTTGGCGTATCATATTACCTGGATGTCTAACCTTCATTGACGCAGTAGCAGTCTAGTAGTAGTGTTTTGTTCCTTTATATCCTTCTACATTTCTCAAGAGATGAGAGATACAGTGCTGCATTCAGCAGGCCCACGGCTTCCAGGCATTAACTGTTACCTGTCAGTGACCTTCTAATTCTACAAACATGGCATCGAAATGCGACTACCGGTAACAGGATGTGTGCAGGGTATAAAATGTGCTGCCACAGACCACATCACCCCCACTTGCTGGCTTACACACTTTCCAGGCTGAGCTACAACTTTATACAACTGTTTTGAAACACCTCCCAATATGTGGAAGGTAATTTTCACTTGTGTAAATGTGTACGTGCTGGTGTTTCTAACAGTGGGCCAGGGCTGCTGTGCAGACCGTGGACTGTTCGACAACTCGACCCACATGTGCTGCGAGGGTAAGGAAACGGTGAAGCGGAGCGAATGCTGCCAGGGGCAAGTCCATTCGCCGGAGGAGGGGAGGACAGCTTGCTGTAAAGGGAAGGCGTACAACCCAGACACCCACACGTGCTGCCAGGATACAGTTGTGACAGGTAATGTCTCAATTTCTCTATGCTAAGATTTTGCTGAGAGCTGAAAGGCGTCAAGTGGCTGAGTGGCTAGGCAAGCTGACACAAGACCAAGAGGCTGTGGGTTCGATTCCTGGTATTCCTGGCTAGACATAACCTAGATTCCTAGGTTATGTTTAGAAAAGGCATTTGACACCACTTTACTCAGTCCATCCAGGTGTAAAATAGGAACCTAACTTTGGTTGGGGAGGTAAAAGGTGGTGGAAGGAGAGGGATGGGCTCCGCCTTGTAATACCAAGCCCTTACTTTAAGACATAGCGGATTAACAACTCACTGCTCCTAAAAAGGCTATGGGACTGCCTTTACTATTACAAGCTATGTCATCGTATGTCCCAGCTATATATTTTTGTCTCTTGCACTTTCTAGAAGGCAAATCTGGCACTTCAAATGAAGTGTGGCTAAATTTTCAACAAGCTCCAGGTGCTCTGCATATGACAAGGGATTTCTTCAAAGTCAAAGTTAAAGACATCTAATAGTATATGTGATGACAAAGTCTTTTTTTAAATTTCTACACAGGAACTGGTCAGTGTTGTGGTAAGACTGTGATGGACCCCAACACGGATTCCTGTTGCCTAGGTAACCAATAATATTAAATCATTCAATTTCTGACTATCTTAACATACATGTAGATATGAATGACTGTACCTGCTTTTAATTCCTCTTGGGTATGTTCCCCAAGTTTTTGCCCTCTATCTTCGTCCTGTTTTATTTCTGTTAAATTGGTATGCATATGATCAAGGACACATAATGGATGAAGGAAGCCAAAATCAAAAGCATGTACTCGGTAAATGCAAGTACAATGTACATGTACAAATGTTGCAGAAGTTGATATGCGTATTATGTCATTACTACATGTATAAAATATACTGTCTCATTTATGTATGTCATTATGTAGAACATGGGACTATTCAGCATCAACTGCCTATAAAGAGGAAGTCAAACCTTATAACAGCAAGCATATATTAGGCCATGTTGATTTGATTATATGGATGACATCCTCTGGGAACCCCAAAACTAATGCGCGCGTGCGAATAAAAAAAAAGTTTTGCAAAAAAAAAAAGTTGCTTTCACTATGAAATCTACGTGGTCATGAAGGTTGAACAAATGGCACAGAATATGTTATGGCGAATAATCTACTCTTCGAATTCATTTCTTTACATTTTTATCTTTTTTCCTTTGATTTTGGCATTCTACGACATTGGTATCGTTTCTAAATGTTTTCCTTGCAACTTGTGGTATATATTTGCTCATTTAGCAACTGTTTTGCACGATTTACAGTATGGTTGAAAACTTTTTTTTTTTTTGGAAACGGCCGAAAATTCATGCGCGCGTGGATGTCATCCATATAATCAAATCAACATGGCCTTATTGTATTGTACTATCTTTGAATCTGTAAAAGCAATTAGCCTTCAGGCATGATTTTGCAAATAAAGTTCATTATTGCCCAACAGATACAGTTGAACAGGATGCCAGCGTGCCACAGACCAGCCCCCATCATGGATGCTGTGGCCTCAGCTCCATGAACAACCAAACCCACACGTGCTGTGCCGGGACAGCTGTGCCGAGGGAAGTGGGAAAGGCCTGCTGTGGGAAAAGTAAGACTTTTGAAACTTTATTTTCAAGCCCTGACAATGTCTGAATTTTGTTGACTTCACATTTAAGACTTGTTACACATAAAAAATTGGAGGTATAACCCATGCACGTCAATATTTCTACAGAAATCTATACCTTATTATAATAAGTTTTATATATGTTTGTACCTTACAGATGACTGTGTGTGTGGACTTTTCTACATACAGCTATATCTTAAAGATATGGTAGTTAAATTAACATATGGTATAATATTATGATGTAACTGCACTAGACATCAAACAAGATGGCTATATTAGAAGGTTCTTTATTCAACAACCAGGCATTTACACATCCACTAGCTGGAGTTCAAATCAGAAATAGCCACCAAAATGTTGAAAGTTTGTTTGCTTGTGAATGTGTAAACCCCTGGTCATTAAATGAAGAGCTACATGTACAATCTTTTTCCAACCTGATGAAATTTGGTTGCTCACTATTCATAATGTACAATGTTTGTATGTTCCGATCATTTATTGCATCATGTGCACATCTGTGTGGCGTCGCGTGGTGTAGTGGTTAGAGCATTTGACTATGAAGCGGGGAGACCCGGGTTCGATTCCAGATCGTACCCGGGACATGTCTGAACATGCGCCCCGACGTTGTGCCCTTGGGAAAGGCACTTTACACGAATTTCCTCACTCCACCCAGGTGTGAATGGGTACCTAACTTCGGTTGGGGAAAGTCGTATTGAGGTCACCTTGTGGCACCAAATGGCAGCCGCACAGACCCTTGTGACAGTTCCACAAAATTTGTGGAACAAATATGTGTACATGTGTATATTATTTGATTGTCTTGCATCAATTCAGCCGTATAAAGGCTGTGACTGCACGGGTACTGTTTGGTCAATAAAACCATTTATTATTTATTGGACAATAAACCATTTATTATTCATCTGCAGCCACCTACAACCTGACATCCGAGCTGTGCTGTGGACCGAACCACGACGTGATCCAGACTAAAGTCACTGACAAGATGCAGTGCTGTGGGGCGGGGACGTTTGAATCTGGTGTGGACAACTCATTCTGAACCTATGTCCTGCTGGCATTTTGTACACAATGTTTTCAAATAATCATTTGTATGTCTTAACCCTTGTCCTGCTGGTATTTTGTGCACAATATTTTCAAATAATCATTTGCATGTCTTAACCCTTGCCCTGCTGACATTTTGTACACAATGTTTTCAAATAATTTCATGTCTTAATCAGGTCATAGATCCCAGACTTTTTTTTTGCCCTTCGGTGGTGTGGTTACTTCCGCATTTGTTGCGTTTCGTTGCACGAGAAATACCCCCATATTGCACACATATACAGGGCGCTATATAGATAGGACCCTAACATAGGATTTACATAACTCCTGCACATGTTCGAAACAACAAACAACATTTACTAGTTTTATTATACACTGTATACTTCGACTGTACATATATCGTAGTGGTAATTCATAACTTTTAATCTTCAGTGATAATTGTATATGTCTATGATAATGTATGTATGTACTGTCACCATAATTCAGTCTTAGGACTGCAAGTGTGACAAATGTGAGGGAAATTTCAAATTCAAAATATTAATAAACCGTTCTTATAACATTCCGTAAATCCCATGTAAACATTTCACTGATGAAGAGTGTTGGAATAACACTTGAAATGTCAGACTGTCAAAGTCTTATCCAGTGGAAAAGTGTGAAACACTACTTTATTGACGCTCGAAATGAGTTAACTATTCAAACTTCTACAATTTACCCCAATTTTACTAAACTTACAGACAAAGAAAAAACTGTTCTTCTTTTAACTTCCCAAAACCCACTAGTTTTGGAAAAGGTGGGACATTACGTCTAAAAAGGAGAAGTCAAATCCCTTAGACATAGTTTTAGACATAGCTATAGCTTTAGACAACTACCTTTTATCATGTAGATTTTAGTTATTTTATACTCTGTTTCATTGTTCTTTTATGTTTGTAATTTGCAATTAGCCCCAAGGCACGAATTTGCAATAAACTTCTCATTGACTTGATCTATTGTTGTAGGTGAGGAGAACTGTTGTGTGGGGAGGAGGAACAGCATCCGGATCCCTGCAGGGAGGGAGTGCTGCAGGACAGAGGACGGGGAGTACCGGGGCTACGACCCAGGGAACGCCACCTGCTGTGGGAGTAAGCACTATCATTAGATAGCTTTAAACAATGTTAGATGTTCAAAGGTTAGGTGTAACGAGTTATTCTGTGTAATGTAGCCATGCTGCGTGCCTGTGAGGCTGGTGTGTTACGCCAAAGGACAGTTAAACCAGCTATACAGATATAGATACAGTTAGCTAGAGTGAGTGAGTGAGTGAGTGAGTGAGTGGGTGAGTGAGTGAGTGAGTGAGTGAGTGAGTGAGTGAGTGAGTGAGTGAGTGGGTGAGTGAGTGAGTGAGTGGGTGAGTGAGTGTGAAAAGGAAGGCAGAGTGAGTAGAGTGTGGTCGAAGTACATGTAAGTCCTATCAGTCTGACTTGGAGTGCCAGCTCCCCTCTGACTCTGACTGTGTCACATCCTTGGCACTTAATTGATTTTATCACGGATCCACATTTTAAGCTCCTTGATTTTACTACATCATCTCCCTCTTGACAGGCCAGGTTCATGATGGTGTCCCAAAGAGCAAGAACATGTGCTGTGGAGGAACTATGCGGACAGACCAACAGCTCTGCTGCGAAGACAACAGGAAGAACTACAAGGTCCTTACAAAGAAGGGGCAGGAAGACAAGTGCTGTCTGAATCACGACACCAATGACATCTCATTGTACAACAGCAAAGACATGGTGAGTCAGTTGTTAAGTCCGTTTTAGACAATTTCATCATAAAAAGAGTATAAAGAATGACTGTATTGAATAAAGATGATATCACATGTACTACACTAGTACTCAAACCCACGCCCAAGCCACCACCAGTCCTCTTCAATTTGGCCACCTGTCAATAACAGCCACATTTTTCTGGTCCCAATTTTTTTTTCACAGTCATTCAGCGTTCTGAGACTCCTGACCAAAAAGGCCACCTGTCCAAAAAGACCACTTTACCTCAGTCCCAATGGGTGGCCTTCTTGGGCAGGTTTGACTGTGAACTATGAGACATGGCTGGGAGTAAGATTGTTTAATGAAAGCTCTGCACTTCCTTTCTCAGGTCTGCCAGCATGGCAAGCTGTCCTACAAACACCCGGGATGGGTGCCGTGTGGAGGCAAGGACTACGACCCCCGTGTGACGCTCTGCTGTTCTGGAGTTCCTCGCTCCAAGGGGGACAACTCAGACAGAAAGTGCTGTGGGTACAGCACCCATGCATACTCCCCATCCTTCCAGTCCTGTTGCAGTGGACGGATCAAAGACGATCCTGAACAGATCTGGGGGTAAGACAACCACTGTACATGTACTTAGTATACTTTATCCATCCACTTCTACCATCTGGGGTGTCGTGGGGAGGTACAGTTGGCGGCTGACGGCGAGTCTGGAGGCTGTAGTAGACGTAAGGCCATGTCTGTTTAGGGTGTCCTTCACGCTGTCGATCCACTTCTTCCTTAGTCGCCCCCTGGCCTTGGGTCTGGATTGTCTGCTGTTATATGCTCTATGTGGCACACTGGCATGTGGCGGCATCCTAACCTGATGTCCAAACCACAAACCACTGTACATGTATCAGCTGCAAATCTAAGAACAATGCTTTCACATTTTGTCCAAAGACCCTTAGGGACAAACGTGTCAGAGTTTGTCATTTTTGCACTGTATTACTTAGCCTATACTGCAGGAACTAATAACATTGTCTTCGTCATCATCAGTACTTTCCATGTTACATGTAACGTTACATGACTTGTAATTTTCTTTCTTTATCCATTTTTTTAAACGAGTTTGCTCGCTGCAAGGCCCCATCAAGGACATTATATTCATATTCAAAAATAATGTCCTTGGCCCCATGGACCACTTCTAGGCACTGAACTAATGCTCACGAAAGCAGCATCTCTTCTCCCTAAGTCAGAACCATCAAGCTTAGGCAAGCTTGACTAACAGTTACTGACTCAACAGGCAAAGCAGGGGTTACGAAGGCTGCTAACATCTTCTATTTGTGGGGTCGTGTGGTGTAGCGGCAGAGTGCGCGACTCGGAACTAAGAGTCCAGGGTTCGAGTCCTGACATGCCACCGATCTTGTGCCCTTGGGAAAGGCACTTTACACGACTTTCCTTACTTAGCTCAGGTGTAAATGAGTATTGTCCTGTCATGTATTTGTCCCCTGTGTTGGTGGCGGCATTAATATAAGTTGAAGAAACTTGAGTGTGTCGTCACCACGTCTGGTGATTACATGTTGGAATAAAAAAAAAAAAAAACATCTTCTATTTCTCGCAGGTGCTGCAAAGGTGTGTTCTATCACAAGAACACCCACGACTGCTCAGGACCAGATGATCATGGCGAGCGGCTGGTTTTGTATGCCGGAGAAGAGGCCGAGGCTCCCACAGATGCTGCACCTGCCGTCCCAACGTCTCCAGCTGCACCTGCCGTCCCAACGTCTCCAGCTACACCTGCCGTCCCAACGTCTCCAGCTGCACCTGCCGCCCCAACGTCTCCAGCTGCACCTGCCGTCCCAACGTCTCCAGCTACACCTGCCGTCCCAACGTCTCCAGCTGCACCTGCCGTCCCAACGTCTCCAGCTGAAGAGACGATCACCTGTGCAGGTACGTCGGTGAAGGTTGGACATCCAGGTAATAAGATACGCCAAAAAAAACCAGATGTTTCAGGTAGCATCCACTACCTTTTGCCCGTGACACTAAGAGACTGCAGGAGAAATGCAGGTTTACAAGGCTTTAGCACAAACCAATGATCGATATGCAAATAAGCGAAGACTCATTGCGCTTATATACTTTCGCCTGTGCAGGTGTGACGTACGGCAGGTGGAGCGATGACGGCCGAGAGAGAAGGTGCTGCAGTAAGAGGAGGTTTGTTGCAGCGTACTTTCCACACAACCAGACCTGCTGTGGTGACAAGGTGTTTGACCTGCCTGATGACACAGCCAGGTAACTACATTTCTACTCCATACTTCCACCCATTCTAAACTTCTTCTGTTTAAAAGGCAGACTTTGTATTCTGTATCTGTCTGTATTGGTATAGCTGGTATAACTGCCCTTTGGTGTAACACACCAGCTTTGCAGTCACGCGGTGTGGCAGGAGCTAGCTATATTACACCAAACGACTTGTATCAAGGCACTGGCTGAGTACCTTGTACTTGTATCCATGATACATCGATGAAGGTTAGACATCCAGGTAATGGGATACACAAGAATCTGTTACTCAAGCAACTGGATAGATTTTCAAAATCTAAGCAACTGGATTTTCAAAATCTATCCAGTTGCTTGAGTACTAGTAACAGCAATAATATATTATCTTGTGTACTTGTATCCATGTAGCTGGAAGAACGACAGTAACCAATGTTTTTTGCACAGCATGTATCAACAGTACTAGTACGTGCCTCCCAACAGGATCTACTCTACCCTGAACTGTAATGAGCCAGTTAACACTTAATTCTGTCATACATGACTCTCACTGTTCTTACTTTTAGGTGTTGCCGAGGGGTTGCCTACGACAACACCACACATTGCTGCGTCAACCAGAAAGTAACCAACTGCACAGACCAGCCCCCTCCTGCCACCCCTACACACACCAGGGAACAGTTCTCCTGCAGTGGGTACAAGCACGACCGTTATGATGAGCAGGGTAACGAGAGAGTGTGCTGTCCACGTGGCACCAACAGTTATAGTCCTGCTACACAGAAATGCTGTGGCAACAGAGTGGCAGACATCCCTAGTTCCAGGGCTGGGTACGTTACACCATTTCTAAATGTACCTGTAAAGTAAGTTTATCAAGTCCAGGTTTGAGCCGACAGAAAAGATGAACAAATGTACAACGTCTCAACAGAAAGTCCACGTAACTTATTGATGACCACTACCTCTAGTAAGACTTGTATAACTTATAACTTGCAAGTTAAAAGTATAACGTGTGAAAGAAAAGCACTATTCTTTTCAACCAAAACCCATTCATATACGCACAGGTGCTGCAATAGGGTGCCATACAGTAAGGACAAGCACAGATGCTTTCAGAGAAGACGACTGATTCTCCTGCCTCAGCCAACTTCACCTCCAACTGAAACGGTGCAGAAGACTTCTCCCCAACAGCCAGAAGAAGGTGAGAAATTACTTCTATGCAGATGAAGACTCTCTCTTAAGTCTTGTACTACTTGTATTATGCCTATATATTGATAGCACATAAAATGTTATATGATGGTCAGGCTTCACTTTTGTTTCACTTATTTTGGTATTATGATTTCATGCGCAGTGTATGCTACTTAAGTTACCTTGCTTTTGTATTATTTAGTAACTTTTGTAACTTTATAAGTTACTTTTGTTGTTATTTGTATTAGTTTGAGTTTGATGTTTTTGTTTGGGGTCTTCTCTAGGCCCAGGGCTCATTGATATGTATCCCCCTGGTTAAATAAATAAAAACAAACAAACAAACAAAGAAGAGAAAATACATTGGGTACAAAGACCCCAGCTTCAATCTGCTGTGTTTTCTAAATGTATGCCTTTTTGTGCAGTATGTTTGTTCCTTGGATAGGCTGTCCTGTGCTGTTCTCATGTTGTCATTGTTCTTTTCTCATCAGTCTGATGTTTGTTTAGTATTTGTGTTGTAGCAAACTTGTCTACTTGTTGCGCTAAAAAAAGGTACTCAAGTAACCGGATATGATTTTTGGGAAAGGTCTGCTTACTTGTTGTTGCATTGTTGGTCTCTCTTACTATAGAAGTTACATGTTTGAGATCTTTCTTCCATACCACATGGATAGAACAAGGGATGTCCCTCCCTCCTTCCTGTAGTAATTGTTTGTTCGTTCCTTTGTCTGTCCATAAAGGCAAGAGCTCCACCCCTGGCTCTACCACACTTCCCTCCACACCTACCACAACACCAACCACCAACCCGTCCACCCCCACCCCATCATGGGTACCCAACTACCACGAGTGCGGTGGTAAAGAGTACGATCCAACCACTTACATCTGCTACAAGAACAAGAAATACTCAAAAGACGAGAATGATATCTGCCAAGGAAAGCTGATCTTCACCAGGAAGAAGAAGTGCTGTGCCGGACGCATAAGGAAGCTCTGGAAGAAGAAAACAGAATGCTGCGGCAAACGGCTGGTGAACCCAGAGAGGATGGACTGTGTTGACAACAAAGCTGTCCTGAGGACAGGAAAACCTGTCAAGAGAACGGGTACTAGAAGGGTACATTCCTACAATTGCTGTGATTCACGTAATTGTTTCCAAACTCATAACAGTTCCCTGTCAAATTAACAGAAATCATATCTGAATGTTGCAGTACCAATGGTATATGGTACTGCATGTAATGTGCGTTAAGGTAAAAATTGGGCTCCTGATTACTAGTAAATACACATGTAGTTCAACTTAGGTGGCCTGTGGCTGACGAAACCCCAAACTTTATACTGTCTCTTACCCTGTTACATTTGTACATGTTCATACACAGACAGACACACACATAAATATGATGACAGCATTTTCCTTGCACTATAAATTAGGTGTAAGAAGGTCAAGCTATGCTAAAAATACTAACAGTCTTAATGACAGCATTTTTCTTCTCCAGAATCGTGTGGAGAGTGTGGAATCAAATTCAAGCGAAGACTGGATTGGAAATTCCCCGAATGCTCCAAGGCAAACAGTAAGGAAAACCTTCTTAGCAGTTAACAGTTATCACAGTTTTACATACAAGACGTTCGATCCCTTAATTTTTGTTACATGTTTAGGAATACAAGACTCTTTTAGTCTTTTTTTGTGTTGTTGTCAAACAGCAAAAGCTGCTATACTTTCACTGCCAAAAATGAGAAAGTTCTGAAATAGATTGACGGTAACTTTGTAAAAGTCTAGTAGAATATGCATAATACACTATATAGTGTATTATGCATATTCTACTAGACTTTTACAAAGCTTGATATCAAGTACTTTTGGCAAATAATGCATGAAAATGCTTGAACTAAAAGTCAATGATAGGAAGGAGGCTGAAAAGTAAACTCCTTTCTCTTCACCTGGCAATCCAAGACTTTATACGATATATCATGATTTTACAGAAAATGTAATGAATTTACAGAAATTCCCTATGTCAGACTTAGAGCTGTGTACCTAAACAAATTTTAGGTACAGGTACAGGTACAGGTACACAGGTTTAGGTACAGGTCCGGACCTGAACCTGTACCTGAACAATTCGACCAATTTATATGCTCTTCTGAACTCCTTCAATAACAAAAAAACATAAATAAACTTGATAGTTAAGGTGTATTCTTTGTTTATGGCGAATGCTCAGACAAAAAAATATAGGCAAAACTAAGTGTTTTTGTTTTCATGAACACACTGTCCTTACACAGGGACCCATTGTTAACCAGCTATTTACACATTTGAGGTCACAAATAGGCATAAAATTGGTGTGAAATTATTTAGGTACAGTACCGGTACTGAGGGATTAGGTATTTTGGACCTGTACCTAATCAATTTTTCCGGTACAGTATCGGTACTGCGTACCGGTACACAGCTCTACTCAGACTCAACCATCTCCTCTCATTGTTCCTACCAGTATTCTCAGCGAAAGTTGAGATGGAGTTTCCTCCTCTGAACACCAACATGACAACCTTCATCCTCACCAACATTGACGACGGAACAGCAAGAACCAAGAGACAAAGCAACACAAACAACAAGCCACTTCAAAGCTACATGTACCTAACTATGCAGGTTCATCGGTGCCAGTGCCCCACTTTTCGCATAGGCAAGACCTACCTGTTTCTGACAGACTCAGATGTTGCCAGTAGCGGTGAATTCACTTACGATCCAGTCAAGTTTGTGGTGACAAGGTTTGATTTCAAAAGGATGTTTATTATCAAGAAGTTATACAAAAGGGGAAAGTGTTCGCAGTATGGTAAGGCTTACCACCCCACTGTTTGAGTCACGAAAATAACAGAAACAAAATAAGTCTGTATTTTTTTGAGACATGCAAAGGTTTGATATAACCATGATGGATTTCGACGATGGTTTAGTAATTATAAGAATATTTGGGCGAAACAAAAATCATGTCAAGCTTGAAATCCTCACTGCTTATATTTTGGCATTCCCAAGTGCGTGTGACCCTAACTAATTAATGTATTTATGTTTGTTGGCAACCAACATGAAGAAAAAAACTATTTGTAGTTTGAATCAAGAACGCTTTCCCTTTTTGTGTAACTCTCTGTGAGAGCGTGAGCCCAGAGAATGGTGCTTGTGTAATTGTAAATGGGCCGTTATGTCCTGTCAATGTGTTGTTTTACTGAATTTTTGCTAAAACTAAAAGGAGCTGTATAATTATTACCAGCGGTGTGCTACACACATGTCTGACAAATGCTATGCTGGTAATTTTGGTGTATTTTTAAAAAACAGATTTTAGCTAAACTATGCTTCCATCAGTTATATGGTGTGATCATGATTAATTTTGTTTCATTATGGATTTATATGGATATACATGACTTGTTTTATGATAAGAAGTGGAAAATTTTGTGGGACTGCAATTTAAATGTATGGCAGCTATTATGGGGTGAATTTTTGGAACAACTATTCTGTATATGTAAATAACACTAGCTTATAAGCATAACAAAAGATGGAAGCATTATCACTGTGTGTATTATGGAGCTGTATATATCATTATGCAACTAGAAAGTTTGGCTTGATAGCTTTCATTTTGTTTTAGCTGGAATGAATGATTAACCTAATAGTATTATATAGCTAGATGCTAGAGCCTCATACCTTGTATAGACATTAGTAGTCAGTCTAGTACAGACACTGCATATATATATTAACCGTTTGACAGAATTATGTCATTAAAAATTTATAATTGTCATTAAAAATTTATAATTATTTGTTTCCAAACTGACAAACTGCTGCCAATTCTTGAAACAACAGAAATATATGCCATGTATCAGTGTTTTTAATAAGTTTTTAATATAGTGAACAATAATTTGTATACCGGTAATTATTATACTCGTATTGTTAACTGGCCAATATTTGCCATTTCAATCTTTCTTCAATTGTACTTTGTTGAATTGTTAGTTAAACAGGGTGTTATTAATTTGAAGTGCATATCAATAACTACTGCTTCTGGCAGCTACTATTGTGCACTATTTTGGTGGAGTGAAATAAAAAAATCCTTAAAATGCTTTACTGTATACATGTTGTAGCTTCTAGAGTTATCATGCTGAACTACATACAAACAGCCAAACATACATCCGAACAAACACTACCAAAAGACCGATAAAATCTGGTCTATATGCCCTAAATGCCCTAAATAACCTTTAGTCTCCCATTCACAATACGGGTACTCACCGCTACCCACTTGCAGGGTGGTGGACAGGGAGTAGCGTCCCTGCCCATTGAGGAGCTAGGTCCCCTCCTCTTACTCACCCCAATACAAACTTAACAAGAAAGCGACCACCCCTCACTCCCCCCCCCCCCCCGTGTCATGAGCCTTCAACTTAATGAAGTTTTGACATGTACTTTGAAGATAAGAAGATATATTGTCAGGAGGTCATTATAGACAGGATTCTTCGTGCTTGTGTCAATAATTGAAATGGGATCACCAAAAGGGGCCTCAGTATCACAGTGGCCAGATGGCCCTTATCAGAGGTGGTCACTTGTAGTAGTAGTAAGTTGTACAGGTTTGACTATACACACAAATGCTACCAAAAACCTAACTTTCTAGGCGAAGATAACAAACATGTGAGGTCGTGTGGCATAACGGTACCGTCTTCGACTCGGAACCAAGAGGTCCCGGGTTCGAACCCCACCTTGTCACTGATCTTGTGCCCTTGGGAAAGGCACTTCACACGACTTTCCTCACTTCACTCAGGTGTAAATAAGTACCTAGCTTTGGTAAGGGAATTGTCCCTCGGATAGGACGTTAAATGGAGGTCCCGTATTTGAGGAGAGCCACACCCCACACGTTACAGAACCCACCATACCTTTCGATAAAGAGTAGGGGCATGTCTCGGTGTGCGATGGTCCAAATACATGTACTTATCTGATTATTCACTACGGACTCCAGGAAAAGCAGTGTGAAATTCACACTAATGGAGATCCCAAACAAACAAATGTACCTGTCAATCTGTAGTCCTGTTGTTGATGGCCGTGGATCTCCTCGTAAGCCTCCTCCTCCCACCACGTGTTGTGGAAGCTTTAATTTATACATATCATCTGTATCCGTATCTGTACATGTAGAACTGGTATAACGACTAGGCAAAGGTAACACACCTGTGACCATTATGTACCTGTCACGCTGCAGTCCTGTTGTTGATGGAGTGGATTTGTTCGTAAGCCTCCTCCTCCCACCACGTGTTGTGGAAGCTTTTATACAGGTCATCTGTATCCGTATCATTCTGTACATGTAGAACTGGTATAACGACTAGGCAAAGGTGACACACCCGTAACCATTACGTACCTGTCATGCTGCAGTCCTGTTGTTAATGGAGTGGATTTGTTCGTAAGCCTCCTCCTCCCACCACGTGTTGTGGAAGCTCCCGTTCTGCAGCAGCAGGAGGAACAGCTTCATGAACTGTGGGGGGGAGAGGTCGCCCGCACGCATGTCTGGTCTCAGGCCTAGGTCGGACAGGATGTCCAGGCTGCCAGGCACCCAGATTCTGTATGAGGGAAGCAAGGTTGTAATCTTAGGCCACACCAATTTAATTTGTTGGTTCTCGGATTCGCCTCTTCATTTTTTTCTGATTTGCAAAAAAACAAAAAAAAGATTCTGGTTCTGAATCAACTCAAAAATGCTCATATTTTGCCCCCAACAGTTGAGAAAAGTCCTTTTTCTTCCTAGTTGTTGCAGTGTTTCCATCTATCAATGCAGTGGTTTGATTAAAAGTTCAAAATTCAATGTTTAAATATTAACACAACCTTTTGTGTTGACTTCATGGCTCCTATCGTAGCATTTGGGACTATAATAGGATGCCTAGACCTGTTTTTATTTTTATTTTTTTCGCCCTGTCGCTTCATGTTTTTTCTGACAAAATCCGAGAACCAACAAATTAAATTGGTGTGGCCTTAAGCTTACTTTTTTACAGGTTTCGATTACTATTCTTTACAGTACTATTATGAAGGTTCACCTCTGTTCTCTCACCTACAGCTTTTGACCAGTCACCTGTCACGTGGCTTCTTTGAAGTGTGACGTCAACACTGGGTCTACTGAGAAAGTGACTGGTCGAAAGCTCTAGGTGAGAGAACTTCTTTGTGTAGTATGTAAGAGAGGCACCGCCATAGTTGGAAGACCTGCTGTCTGCAAGTTTTGCTCCAGGTAAATGTTGTCATAAACCTTCTCCCGGACACTGTCACCAATATACAAATGTGTTGCCAGAAGTTTACATGTACTTCAGCAGTATTAAATGTAAGAATGGCATTGCTGTTACAGTAGTTTTTTTTTTTAACGGTGTCACTCAATCATCAGTCAATGCAAGGCCATTTGGCCACTTCTAGGCATAGAGCTAGCCTGTAACTGTAACAGCAACTCTTCTCCCTGAGTCAGAAACATCATCACAAGTAGTGAGGACTAACTGACCCAATAGGAGAAGCAGGGGTTACGAGGCTAGTCGGGAAAATTCCCTACCCCTTTTTTGACCATAATGGTTTGTTCCACTTCCGCTCACGTGGGTTCTTTAACGTGCTTGAGGTGTGTCTCCTCAAACACGGGACCTCCATTTTAACGTCCCATCCGATAAGACGATAAGTTGTTGTACTTACTCCATCCTGTCTGCCAGCTTGGCCCTGGGCTTGGCCATGAGCTGTCTGACCAGGAAGATGAACTGGCTGCCGTTCTGCGGGGTCAGTCCATGGTCAAACAGGCCATCCTTTGGGGTCAGTCTCACCAGACACATGTGGTCATTCACAAACTGGGGGGGGGACAAACATTGATTGGTTTATTGTCTTGATTCATAACAATACAATAAAATACATTGCAGCCACTTGTACATAGTACAAGTCACGGAATTATGCATATTATGCCGACACAAAAATGATGTTCTGTGGGGTATCACCAGACACAAGTGGTCATTCACAAACTGGGGGGACAAACATCGATTGGTTTATTGTTTTGATCCATAACAATACAATAAAATACATTGCATGCAGCCACTTGTACATAGTACAAGTCATGGAATTATGCATATTTGGCAGAGACACATGTGGTCATTCACAAACTGGGGGGGACAAATATTGATTGATTTACTGTTTCGATTCATAACAATACAATACAATACTTTGCAGCCACTTGTACAAGTCATGGAATTATGCATATTTGGCAGAGACACATGTGGTCATTCACAAACTGGGGGGGACAAATATTGATTGGTTTATTGCCTTGATTCATAACAATACAATAAAATACATTGCAGCCACTTGTACATAGTACAAGTCATGGAATTATGCATATTATGCCGACACAAAAATGATGTTCTGTGGGGTCTCACCAGACACATGTGGTCATTCACAAACTGGGGGGAACAAATATCGATTGGTTTATTGTTTCGATTCATAACAATACAATACAATACATTGCATACAGCCACTTGTACAAGTCATGGAATTATGCATATTTGGCAGACACAAAAAGGACATTCTGTGGGGTCTCACCAGACACATGTGGTCATTCACAAACTGGGGGGGACAAACATCGATTGGTTTATATTATTGTTTCTATTCATAACAATACAATACAATACATTGCATGCAGCCACTCGTACAAGTCATGGAATTATGCATATTTGGCAGACACAAAAAGAACAGGCCAGCCTTGGGGTCAGTCTCACCAGACACATGTGGTCATTCACAAACTGGGGGGGTACAAATATCGATTGGTTTATTGCCTTGATTCATAACAATACAATAAAATACATTGCATGCACTTGTACATAGTACAAGTCACGGAATTATGCATATTTGGCCGACATAAAAATGATGTTCTGTGGGGTCTCACCAGACACATGTGGTCATTCACAAACTGGGGTGGGGGGGACAAACATTGATTGGTTTATATTATTGTTTTGATTCATAACAATACAATACAATACATTGCATGCAGCCACTTGTACAAGTCATGGAATTATGCATATTTGGCAGACACAAAAAGGACATTCTGCGGGGTCAGTCCCTCACCAGACACATGTGGTCATTCACAAACTGGGGGGAACAAACATCGATTGGTTTATTGTTTCGATTCATAACAATACAATACAATACATTGCATGCAGCCACTTGTACAAGTCATGGAATTATGCATATTATGCCGACACAAAAATGATGTTCTGTGGGGTCTCACCAGACACATGTGGTCATTCACAAACTGGGGGGGACAAGCATCGATTGGTTTATTGCCTTGATTCATAACAATACAATACAATACATTGCATGCAGCCACTTGTACATAGTACAAGTCACGGAATTATGCATATTCTGCCGACACAAAAATGATGTTCTG